TGACAAGGCGACATGTAGCCATGACAAGGAGACATGTAGCCATGACAAGGTGACATGTAGCTGTGACAAGGTGACATGTAGCCATGACAAGGAGACATGTAGTCATGACAAGGTGACATGTAGCCATGACAAGGTAACATGTAGCCATGACAAGGTGACATGTAGCCATGACAAGGAGACATGTAGCCATGACAAGGAGACATGTAGTCATGACAAGGTGACATGTAGCCATGACAAGGTGACATGTAGCCATGACAAGGTGACATGTAGCAATGACAAGTAGACATGTAGCAATGCCAAGGAGACATGTAGCCATGACAAGGAGACATATAGTCATGACAAGGTGACATATAGTCTTGACAAGGAGACATATAGCCATGACAAGGTGACATATAGCCATGACAAGGTAACATGTAGTCATGACAAGGTGACATGTAGCCATGACAAGGTAACATGTAGCCATGACAAGGTGACATATAGCCATGACAAGGTAATATGTAGTCATGACAAGGTGACATGTAGCCATGACAAGGAGACATGTAGTCATGACAAGGTGACATGTAGCCATGACAAGGTAACATGTAGCAATGACAAGGTGACATGTAGCAATGACAAGGTGACATGTAGAAATGACAAGGCGACATGTAGCCATGACAAGGAGACATGTAGCCATGACAAGGTGACATGTAGCTATGACAAGGTCATGCTTTTGTTTGTTTGTTGTTTAACGCCGCACTCGGCAATATTCCAGCTGTATTACAGCGGTCTGTAAATAATCAAGTCTGGACCAGACAACCCAGTGATTGGCATCATGAACATCGATCCACGTAATTGGGATACGATGACATGCATCAACAAAGTCAGCGAGCCTGACCACCCGATCCCGTTAATCGCTTCTTAAGACAAGCATGGGTTGCTAAAGACCTATTCTAGCCCGGATCTTCACGGGTCGACAAGGTCATGCAGCAAGGTAAATGCTATGGGGCGGTGTCAACGCCAACACAGGTGTGCCCTTACATCAGGAAATAATTAACGAACATCTGATTATCTCTCTGGCAAATTAAAGGGTTAACGTATGATCAGGGCTATAAATACAACACGACCTGGCGAGCCTCCCCACATTGGATAAACAGCAACCAAAGCTATATATCATAATACTGTATCCATCGATGAAGGAGACCCTTTGATTATTTTTTAAACGCATTTATACACAAAACTAGGTACTTCTTCACACTAGAGTATATACAAGGATATTAAGGTACTGTTACAGGTGTTATACATCGGGGAGATACAGTTAAGTAAATGTTGTTGCTTATTTTACAACAACCGTGTGTTGTTTTAGCGTTTTCAAGATAGGGCGTTTACAATGTGTAGCAAACAGGTTAGAATTACACCCACGGAAAGTTGGCGTCCGCTTCTCCCAGTATTTACCAATCAGTTAGCCGGTGGTAATGTGGCTTTGTTGTGCTTGGTTGGGTTCATAGAATCAGTTAATCTGGGTATGGGGTAGGCAGTTGTTCAGTTGTATAGAGAATTTTGAATATGAGGTGATCTGGGCATGGAATAGCCAGCTGTTCAGTTGTATAGAGAGTTTAGAATATGAGGTGATCTGGGTATGGAATAGGCAGGTGTTCAGTTGTATAGAGAATTTGGAATATGAGGTGATCTGGGCATGGAATAGCCAGCTGTTCAGTTGTATAGAGAATTTGGAATATGAGGTGATCTGGGCATGGAATAGGCAGGTGTTCAGTTGTATAGAGAGTTTAGAATATGAGGTGATCTGGGCATGGAATAGCCAGCTGTTCAGTTGTATAGAGAGTTTAGAATATGAGGTGATCTGGGTATGGAATAGGCAGGTGTGCAGTAGTATCGAGAGTTTAGAATATGAGGTGATCTGGGCATGGAATAGCCAGCTGTTCAGTTGTATAGAGAGTTTAGAATATGAGGTGATCTGGGTATGGAATAGGCAGGTGTGCAGTAGTATCGAGAGTTTAGAATATGAGGTGATCTGGGCATGGAATAGCCAGCTGTTCAGTTGTATAGAGAGTTTGGAATATGAGGTGATCTGGGTATGGAATAGGCAGGTGTGCAGTAGTATAGAGAGTTTGGAATATGAGGTGATCTGGGCATGGAATAGGCAGGTGTGCAGTAGTATAGAGAGTTTGGAATATGAGGTGATCTGGGCATGGAATAGGCAGGTGTGCAGTAGTATCGAGAGTTTGCAATATGAGGTGATCTGGGTACTATCAACAGAGACCCATTAGTATATAAAGGCGTGTATGATAGTGTTCATATTGTGACGATTCTGTTATCACACCATCTGTCACATAGATTCTGTCTGCGTCACATAGATTCTGTCTGCGTCACATAGATTCTGTCTGCGTCACATAGATTCTGTCTGCGTCACATAGATTCTGTCTGCGTCACATAGATTCTGTCTGCGTCACATAGATTCTGTCTGCGTCACATAGATTCTGTCTGCGTCACATAGATTCTGTCTGCGTCACATAGATTCTGTCTGCGTCACATAGATTCTGTCTGCGTCACATAGATTCTGTCTGCGTCACATAGATTCTGTCTGCGTCACATAGATTCTGTCTGCGTCACATAGATTCTGTCTGCGTCACATAGATTCTGTCTGCGTCACATAGATTCTGTCTGCGTCACATAGATTCTGTCTGCGTCACATAGATTCTGTCTGCGTCACATAGATTCTGTCTGCGTCACATAGATTCTGTCTGCGTCACATAGATTCTGTCTGCGTCACATAGATTCTGTCTGCGTCACATAGATTCTGTCTGCGTCACATAGATTCTGTCTGCGTCACATAGATTCTGTCTGCGTCACATAGATTCTGTCTGCGTCACATAGATTCTGTCTGCGTCACATAGATTCTGTCTGCGTCACATAGATTCTGTCTGCGTCACATAGATTCTGTCTGCGTCACATAGATTCTGTCTGCGTCACATAGATTCTGTCTGCGTCACATAGATTCTGTCTGCGTCACATAGATTCTGCGTCACACAGATTCTGCGTCACACAGATAGGTTTTCTAGATTCTGTTTGCCTGTAAAGACTAAAATGGCGGAATTGGAGAAGTAAAAGCGACATCGCTTTCATAAGAATTGTTGGTTCAGTATGTTTATCTTTTTTCTATCAGGATTGCCTGTTTGAGGACAGGACATTTTGGAAAAACATAGCCATCATCTTGGGCACCAATTGGGCTCCCTTCCTTTCAAATCTGTTTTTTTGGACATCAGTGACAAAAAAATATGTTTGATGTAATCCTCTATATGTTCCAGCATTTGTTTAGGTGAACACTTGATTTGTCTTTGCATGTGTTTGTGATGGGTGTCACCGGTGGGACAGGATACGCTCACCTTTTCTCGAACACCTGGTATCTATTTCATAGTGATTCAAAGATACAACGGATTCTGTTTTTATCAGCGATTTCTAATTTTGAGAACATATTTTGTCGCTCTTATTGATTTTTCACTTACTTTCTTCTTTCTTAGTCTATAAATTTCTTAAAGATTATATCTTGCAACAGAAGTACAAAGATAACTGCTATGTTTTAGGAATTAACTTAGGCTGGCCGAGGGGTTTAATGAAGAGTACACGAGGCATATGGTCAAACAAGGAATTAATGATGGTATTTACGTTAGGTTCCTCACAGGCAGCGTCAATAACTGGCTTCCCACGTTACATTAAACAGTTGCTGCCTTGCTAGTCAGTCCCGGTGTGGCTCACAGTTCCACCACAGTTACGCCACACTTTAAGCATTGTTTACAGCAACTCTCACTCCTTTCTCTTGGGAAATTGTACTTCACCATACCCGCATCGATAAGTAATATTTCACCTTGTCCACACAACAATAGTGTCGAGCACCCAACTAACAACACACACCGCTAACGACCTTGTGCGGTGGCTCTAATTACCTGGACTGTCTAACTGCCAATATACCTGCCCTCTATAGTTATATTGAACTGCTTTTATGATAAAGTATATGTGCGTTGCTGTTGTCGTGACTGCCAGCTGTTGGGGCTACACACCCATGGCCAGCTGATCGGCAGAAGATGTACAGCTGAAACAGCTTCTGTCACTCCCTATATATATCGATCTCACCACGTGCACGGACTGGATGGAAGCGTGTTACCTGCAATCTGTTGGCTGAGATTGGATTTTAATGTTCTGTCAACAATAGAGGCTATTTAATCTATTGCCCGTCTGAATCAGACATAACGGATATGGCACGTTTAGTCCATCACGATCCGGTTATGTACACTCAATCCCTGGCATATGAATCCGTCACAATTACTTATCCCATGGTATATACAATAGACATTTAATCCAGTGTTTTCTATCCACTTCGGTTACATATTTTCTCATGTGTTAGATCGGCTTTAAACGGTTTAGTTACATTCAATTGCATGTAAAAGCACATTCAACTAAGTACCATCTTCACATAATACCCTACTAAGCTACGGGGTTATGTAATCAAAATGAACTTGTGTCATGTATAGAAGGAGAGGGTGACGGGAAGCCTTATGGTTAAAGCGTTCGCTCGTTACGCTGAAGACACGGGTTCGATTCCCGACATAGGTACATTGAGTGAAGCCCATTTCTGGTGTCCCCCGCCGTGATATTGCGGAAATAAAGCGGCGTAAAACCATACTCACCCACTCACTATAGAAGGAGCGAGATATCAATGGGAAGTAACCAATTTGCGCTGTATTTACAATGTCCATCAACTGCAGATCTGTTTCAACACCTGATCAACACCTCGTTGTTCAAAACATTTACGAGTAGAAAAAAACTCAGGATAAACCCAACCGCGGAATAACGCTCAGACAAAGAGAGAGGAAGGTCAATGGGAATGAGAAAATGGAGATATGGAGAAGTAGCGACGGATATGACACGAAGGGAAAGAACCTACTGAGGGGAATGAGGTTGATAAAGGACATACACCATAACGGTAATACACATGGGGTGTTGTTTACCTGATTGCTTGAGCTGCCGCAGTTTTATCGGTGACCGTGAAGGAGGATCTAGCGACGCATCCACCCATCAGAGTTGATCATTGTAGCCACTCAGAGCTCCGGTGGTATTTGACGACAGTTTCTCTGCCTCGTAATAACACGTCCCGTTTTCTTGACAACAGGCGACCTTGGTACCTATACACAGACTCCTGAAAACGCCCAGTCGGATGAAATCATGTCTCCTATACTTCTACCCTATGTGAATAACAAAGCAGTGACGTCATGCTGCACGTATGATGAACGCACCTTTAATCAGTGTTGTCAATACCTGTCTAGCATACACCACACAACATACAATCAATAGACCGTAACAGATCCCAGGCTGGTCCTCCTGAAAACGACACACATGTCCGAATCACTTCCTTTAAGATATTCCCCGCACTGCTATGTGACGATCCAGGTGTGTTGTGTGATCTGGCAGGGACTATTTCCTGGTCAGCCGTCAGGGTGATGGCAGGCGAGCGGACCAGCTGGAAAGCGAACAGGATCGTGGAGTGATCGATACTGTATGCTGGCTAGTCCGAGGCTAGGCTAGGCGGCGTGTGTGCGTTGTGTATAGGGACTTGGCATGCGATACCGCCATCATGAGCTGCGCTTTGGATTACGGCGGGGATTTCGTAAACAATAGGTCTGCAGCGAGTGTATACGTTGTACGTTGGTTACATTTTCGCTTAGTATTTGGTATTTTGACTTCAAAGTCTTCGCCTCGCAATTAAAATAATAAATAGATCCTACCGAGATCATTAAATATGCACGGGGTTTTCGCAAGTTATGATTCTAGAGTGCAGTGTATTGTTTACCTTTTGGAGAACACCTGGTGTCATCACTATTTCATGGTGTCATCACTATTTCATGGTGTCATCACTATTTCACGGTGTCATCACTATTTCACGGTGTCATCACTATTTCATGGTGTCATCACTATTTCACGGTGTCATCACTATTTCATTGTGTCATCACTATTTCATGGTGTCATCACTATTTCATGGTGTCATCAATATTTCATTGTGTCATCACTATTTCATGGTGTCATCACTATTTCATGGTGGCATCACTATTTCACGGTGTCATCAATATTTCATTGTGTCATCACTATTTCATGGTGTCATCACTATTTCATGGTGTCATCACTATTTCACGGTGTCATCACTAGTTCATGGTGATTCATAAAGGCATGCTTATGATATAGTTGGACTCGTACAATCGACTCTGCTTTAAGAGATATTTCTAATGAATTATCATTATTATTATTTACAGATTAAGATAAACAAGTGCAGCAAAGAGGATTTGGGTGATCCTGTCACAGTCAGGCTGGTTTGGCTCATCATCAGCTCAGGGCCCTTGCCCCCCTCTACACGCAGCCCAGACAGCGAATGGGAACTGCGAATGAGGTTAAGAACTACCTCAGTAAGCCAGTCACCATGACAGCGCGTCGTAATTTAATACATTTACATCAAGTACAAGACGTCAAAATGGCCACATGATAAACGTGACGGGAGAGATTTCGGAAGTTGTTGATGAACCTGTGGCGGTTACATGTTTTAGTCATCATTGATCAATTGGCCGATCATTGAGAGGTGATTAAAGATGCGTCAAACAGACACTAAGGTAATTTCATAGATTGCTGGAGTCACTGTCAGCCTTGACACGGATCGAGTCGATACCACGATAGTTTGGATGTGCATTTCTTCGTTTGTTCATTAGGACGGGTCGCGAACGATAGTGCAGTCAAACTCTCTGACGTTTCTCAATGTAAACTGAAACGATGTGTTCAAGATGGGTTTAATAGATCAGAAAGAACGCTTCTGTATGTATTCGTGCTAGGGAATTGCCAGGGGTTTCCCCAGGAATGTGGAAGTAGTCCATCAGTGTTTTCGTCATTTCAAGAACACGGTCTCGTGAAAAAACCCATTAATTCACAATGATTTTCAAAAAGTCATCATTGTGAGAAGGACTTTGTAGATTCTCATCAGGAACATAGCACTCACGCTCATTGTCACTGCTACGAGTGAGTGAGAGAGTTTGGTTTTAACGCCGCTTTTAACAATATTCCAGTTATATCGCGGCGTGTCAGCTTAATGTGGGAAGAAAGCCCAAAGTGATGCAGGTCTCAGACGTTTACCACTTCGCACGAGTATAGAAACATAATCGGGGCGAACCGGGATTCGAACCCACAATCAGAGGTTTCTGGCGTGCCCAAGGGACGCGACACTGCACAGCGAATCGCGGCGCCTTAGACGCCTGGGCCACCCGTGCCCCCGCTACAAGAATGTTAATTTAGACAAGCATTGCGTTTGCTAAATCGTTGACTCGACATGCCCAAATCACGGATTTGACGCCCCACAGTCGCACACTGTGTATCCCGTGTCTGGTGTCTCCCGTCGTGAAATAGCTGCAACATTTGATAAAAGCGGTGTAAATTAACACTCACTCAATTCCAGGCTCATTCTGACAATAACATGCTGTTAAAGTAGACATCAATGAGGAACATTATCATCAAACTGGAATTTATTTGACAAATATACGCTTCAGGGATATTTAGCATATATTGGAGAAATTATTTTTCTTGGAACCCCGTTAAGCTAATGGTCGCACAAGCAAGGCGTGGGTGTCTCGCGTGTGTAAACCGCGACATCCTCTGCAGCGATCCGCCTTCACCTAGATCTACGCTCGGGGGGTGCGGTCTGGCAGCCTCTCACCTGAGCTTGCCAGGTAAGCTTGATCCTTCTCGCGCCAACAGGTGTGTCCAGAGGAAACGGTCACAGGTAAGCCTGGACACGTCCTGCTTCACAGATGACCGCTGGAATGGCGACAAGAGAAACACCTTAGAAAAATGCCGGTCGAGAAGATCAAATCCTTCTGGACTTAAGATATAATAGTCATCTAAAGTTACAAGATCAATTATCTGTTCAGTTATTTTATAGATACAGAAACAAAGAGAAATAAAAGAGAAAAAGGAAATGTTTATTGGGAATTACAAGGCTTTATTTCCTTGTCCTTTTAATTTTATTCCTTTCTTTCATTATGGAGATTACTGTGTCGACGGGACATTTTTGTTTCTGCTTGGTACACGTGTTCTGTGACCTTGACATTTTACTGTTATATACGGCTAAAATATGTTTTGCACGTCTTGCGATTTAGAAGCATACATTATGAGATATTTGCCCTCTGAATTTTGATTTTTAGATTACACAAGGGTTTGATAAACTAACAAGCTGTGTGTATTCACGCAATATGTTTACATTTCTCACGATATGTTTATTCTATAAACAGAGATAATCCGTATGCTAGACCCACTTCAACCCTGTCAGGAGCCCCGGTAGTTACCATCTACCTGTCTGTTCAGACACACTTGTTTTATAGCCCTGTGGGGAGTTCGGCTTGTGATTATCTGACTGTTGTGCCAAAACAGTTTTCACACAACACTGTCAGGAGCCCGGCAATGACCGTCTAACTGTTATGTCCACAGACTTGTCACACAACACTGTTAGAGAGTTATGGTGTTCCTGATGTGACTATACCGTTAATTCACCGACCTGGAGAATGTTATTTGTTTATACACCTGTGAAACGAATTTCATTATATACATAAGGAAATATAAGTCGAAAACATAACTTTCACATAATTGGCGGAAATGATAAATTCTTTGTTAGTATTCCAAAGACAGTCCTATCCTTGAGGGTTGTGATTCCTTGCGTAGTAAATGTACCCACTCAGCAAGATTCCAGCTATATGTAATTGTTTGTAAATAATCGTGTGCCTTACACACATGCCTGATTGGGCTTTATTGAAGGGATATGTCATGTGTACCTTACATACATAGGCTTTATTGAAGGGATATATCATGTGTACCATGCACACGTGTTCTTTATTGAAGGGATATGTCAAGTGTACCTTACACACATGGGCTTTATTGAAGGAATATGTCATGTGTACCTTACACACATGGGCTTTATTGAAGGGATATATCATGTGTACCATGCACACGTGTTCTTTATTGAAGGGATATGTCAAGTGTACCTTACACACATGGGCTTTATTGAAGGGATATGTCATGTGTACCTTACACACACGGACTTTATTGAAGGGATATGTAATGTGTACCATGGAGACGTGTTCTTTATTGAAGGGATATGTCATGTGTACCTTACACAAATAGGCTTTATTGAAGGGATATGTCACGTGTACCTTACACACACGGACTTTGTTGAAGGGATATGTCATGTGTACCATGCACACGTGTTCTTTATTGAAGGGATATGTCATGTGTACCTGAAACACGTGTTCTTTATTGAAGGAATATGTCATGTGTACCTTACACACATGGGCTTTATTGAAGGGATATGTCATGTGTACCTTACACACGTGTTCTTTATTGAAGGGATATGTCACGTGTAACTTACAAACACGGGCTTTATTGAAGGGATATGTCATGTGTACTTTATAAACACGGCTTTATTGAAGGGATATGTCATGTGTACCATGCACACGTGTACTTTATTGAAGGGATATATCATGTGTACCTTACACACACGGCTTTATTGAAGGGATATGTCATGTGTACCATGCACACGTGTTCTTTATTGAAGGGATATGTCACGTGTACCTTACACACAAAGGCTTCATTGAAGGGATATGTCATGTGTACCATGCACACACGGGCTTTATTGAAGGGATATGTCACGTGTACCTTACACACACGTGTTCTTTATTGAAGGGATATGTCATGTGTACCTTACACACACGGGCTTTATTGAAGGGATATGTCAAGTGTACCTTACACATACGTGTTCTTTATTGAAGGGATATGTCATGTGTACCTTACACACACGTGCTTTATTGAAGAGATATGTCATGTGTACCATGCATACGTGTTCTTTATTGAAGGGATATGTCATGTGTACCTTACACACACGTGCTTTATTGAAGAGATATGTCATGTGTACCATGCACACGTGTTCTTTATTGAAGGGATGTGTCATGTGTACCTTACACACATAGGCTTTATTGAAGGGATATGTCATGTGTACCATGCACACACGGGCTTTATTGAAGGGATATGTCACGTGTACCTTACACACACGTGTTCTTTATTGAAGGGATATGTCATGTGTACCTTACACACACGGGCTTTATTGAAGGGATATGTCACGTGTACCTTACACACACGTGTTCTTTATTGAAGGGATATGTAATGTGTACCTTACACACACGGGCTTTATTGAAGGGATATGTCATGTGTACCTTACACACATAGGTTTTATTGAAGGGATATGTCATGTGTACCTTACACTCACGGGCTTTATTGAAGGGATATGTCATGTGTACCTTACACACGTGTTCTTTATTGAAGGGATATGTCATGTGTACCTTACACACACGTGTTCTTTTTTGAAGGGATATATCATGTGTACCTTACTCACAGGGGCTTAATTGAAGGGATATGTCATGTGTACCTTACTCACATAAGCTTAATTGAAGGGGCGGTCGGGTAGTCTAGTGGTTAAAGTGGTCGCTCGAAGACCCGAGTTCGATTCCCGACATGGGTACAATGAAGCGCATTTCTGGTGTCCCCCGCCGTGACATTGCTTGGATATTGCTAAAAGCGGCGTAAAACCATACTCACTTAATTGGGACACTTGCACATGACTGCGCCATTCTTGCAGAAATTCTGCACGTATCTCAGTCGTGTGTGCGACATCCTAATGTAAGCTAATGTCAGTTGTTCTGATGTGGCTGGGTGAGTTATATGTTTGACACACTAAGCCGCATACAACATGGATAATAGGGGTGATATAAGTTTGGGAGGCGTTGTCTCACATAAATAAACATAAAGAAACTTAACTAAACCTGAAACAGGATCTCAGACGAACGGTGTCTATCGGGAACTCAGTGCAGTCATCTGTGTATCCATGTAGATTTACTTTTGAATGCATCTCCAATCCACAAGAAGGAGCTTATTCTGTCACAACTGTTTCTGGATTTCTGAAGCGGGTCACTTGAGATTTAAAATCATTGATACATATGTCATTCACCTCACACAAGTTGGAGATCAAACATTCCCTTAAATAGTCCGCAGTTTCTGCTTGTAACATTAACGTTTGAGCGAGGCTATGAAGAGTTAAGTCCCTTTTATAATGATAGCTCAAATGCAATCGACCACACAACCATACGATCTAAACGCTATGTACGGATGTTGTGTTATTGAGGTAGTTTTATGTTTTATGAAAACCGCGCTGAATATGAACGCTGACGACAATATCTCACGATTGCTAAAAATGATTATTTCAGCATGACCTTTTAAAGATTGACTTGAGTAACATTGGGTGTACACATTGAATATCAGTGGTGATAGCACAAAACCTTGGTTTAAGCCTGAATATCAGTGGTGATAGCACACAACCTTGGTTTAAGCCTGAATATCAGTGGTGATAGCACACAACCTTGGTTTAAGCCTGAATATCAGTGGGGATAGCACACAACCTTGGTTTAAGCCTGAATATCAGTGGGGATAGCACACAACCTTGGTTTAAGCCTGAATATCAGTGGTGATAGCACACAACCTTGGTTTAAGCCTGAATATCAGTGGTGATAGCACACAACCTTGGTTTAAGCCTGAATATCAGTGGTGATAGCACACAACCTTGGTTTAAGCCTGAAAATCAGTGGTGATAGCACACAACCTTGGTTTAAGCCTGAGTTAACACTAATTAAATAAACCATTTCGTTAACTTATTTTCCTAGCTTCTGCCTAGCAATGGCAGCTGTACATGACATTTTCCTCTTCTTCTGTGATTAATTGAGATTTGTCACTGCGAACAGATCGTCGTTTTCTGAATCCGTTTTGTTCACGTGAGATAACCGCCTATTATAATGGGTCCCCTTTCGCACTTTTCCCAACTCACGTCCGATTCATTACACAAATGTTATACGGAAACGTGAAAATTTACATTTGAAAGTGCGACTTTTGTCTGTTCCGATATCAACATTTACAGAGAGGAAAAGCCTGATGCTCGTGATGTCAATCACTGGATTGTCTGGCCAAGACTCGATTATTTACACTCCGCCGTCCTATAGCTGGATAGCTGGAATATTTCTGAGTGGGGCGTTAAACAACAAACAAATAAATAAACAAACAAAGGTACATGGACCAAAAGGACCAGCTGGGACCCGGGTGATACAGTGTCCCCAGCACCCAACTGCTTGTCGTAAGAGGTGACGAAAATGGGAACGCGGGATTCCGGGTTAGGACCTATCTTGGTCGTCAAAGGCCAGAGTCAGTGACCTGGTTGATGGCGTGTCAGCGTATCCCGACGGCGTTGATCGTTGATCAAAATATCATTCATTAGATTGTCCGGTCCAGACCCGATTATTTACAGACCGACGTCATGTAGATGTCAAGTGCAGCGTTAAACCACACACGCACTCACACACTAGCTCACACACACACTCTCTCTCTCTATCTCTATTTCTCTCTCCCCACTCTCTCTCTCTCTCTCACACACACACACACGCACGCACACACACACAACTATAGATATTCAGAATTGATGCGGTCGTAAAATACATATGCTCACTTCAACTGACGCTGCGTTCCGGCCTCCGTGACATTGTCCGGTCCTGGGATTCCCGGTCCATGGTGACGTGAGTGGAAATGGCATTCAAGATTATTGCACTTATAAAGTGACGTGCGTACGTGTGTGTGTGCGTGTGCGTGTGCGTGTGCAGTGCTGTCTTGCTCAGATCAAATATGATAGTTTAACATGATTACCCATTCTTGTCGTAAGAGCATCGAATGATTAGGCTGGTATAGTCGGTTATTCTCTTTGCAACCATGTCTTCGTTACTGAAGTCACGTCACCATCGCAATCCCTTGACACTAATTTGTTTGTTTTGAACAACATGTCATTTGAACTGGGCTCAAAACCTCAAAACAAATGGGTACAGGGTATCTATTATAGAAGATAGGCGATATTATATCGATTATATACTCGGTAACCTGGCTCTGTGTTGTCGTACCCATTTGGTTTGCTCATTCTTTCGGTCATTGGTTTTCCTGGTCCAACTATAAATCACTGGGAGGGATTATTTGCTTTGTTAAAGACAATGCCCAGGATCCCCGCAAACAAGTGGAACAGTCTTTTGAAAACGTACATTTGCCTCAAGTATCACGTTTGTTAAACATTGTATCAGCTTTGGTAGATGACGAAAAAACAAGAACATTTTCATCAGAGGTCTAGGAACATTGATTTGATTTGTTGTTTAACGCCACACTCAGCAATATTCCAGCCATATGACGGCGGTTTGTAAATAATCGAGTCTGGGCCAGGCAATCCAGTGATTGATATCATGAGCATCGATCCACGCAATTGGGATCGATGACATGCATCAACCAAGTCAGCGAACCTGACCACCCGATCCCGTTAGTCGCCTCTTACGACAAGCATTGTCGCCTTTTACGGCAAGCATGGGTTGCTGAAGACCTATTCTACCCCGGAATCTTCAAGGAATATAATTAGTTTAATCTGCTATTTGTGTGTACTCTCTATTGTGTGCATATTTGTCCGAGGGGCAGGTGATATGTGCGTAGGATTTAAATGATAGTGTGTTCCCGATGTGCATCAGAAACAAAACACTTAAAAATAAAAGCCAAACAAACACTTCATGAACTATACCGTTTATTTCAGTGGAAAAAACGTTGGTCAGTAATTCTACGCGTCATCATGGCGTCGAACATGTTTCAAAGGGGTTCATTAGGCATCAAAACTCTTCAGGGCAGAGGTAAGTATTGGAATATATCCATCAAACACGTGTCATGGAAACTACAATAAAATCAGCGATTTGGGTTGATGGCAATAGCATGAGAATTATTGACATAATCGTCATGTGTTATGAATGTCGTAGCCGTCCATGCACTCATGGGGGGTAGACCGCAGGTATTACCAAGCTGCCGACGTCTGGGGGGATGCATCAGTCAGCTTCTTTTCAGCATCTGTTCTGTCAGGCTTATAGAGTGAGGGATCCCCCAACCAAAAGCAACAGTGACGTCATGCAAAAGATCACGTGGTTTGCTCCAGAACGAGTTTCTGTAAAATATCATAGATACGTAAAGTGCCCACTCTTCGTTCGTCAAACCGAAATATTCTACTGGACAAATTGCCGAAAAAACAGCTTTGGAAATCAGAATACAATGTAGCTAGTTCAGTCTGGTGGGCTTAGATTTTTTAATTTTTACTTGAACCTGATTATCGCAATGTCTGTTCTTTGTCAATGGCAGTCTAAGCAATGATTATTATCAGTGGACATATTTCGTCTCCATTTAGGTAACAGATATCTACATTGGATCCACATGGGATCCACATGAAACCATGGTCCACCTTGATACACGATTGGAAGCTCATCTGTGGAAGATTGTTTTACATATTGCAAAATCTCATCATCTGATTAAAATAACGTAATACATATGTGACGTCATGTGTTCCTGACGTCATTCCTGTTATGGCGTCATTGCCGGGATGATGTCATTTAATAATAATTAAATTTTCGTTGTGTTCATGGAAATTCCTGCATTCTGATTAGCTGAATTGGTCACGTGTTATTGCATTCAATTCCCAATGAATGTAAAAAATTAAGGCACGCCCACCGCGCCGCACTACTTTTATTACTTCGGAATGTCGGGGAATCCCAATATTACAGTCGAGGGAATTCCCTTTCTGCTCATGTGTATCGTCATGCACAGGACATTTAGCGACTTTCATGCATATTCATTGTCCAAACTACCCTTTGAAACCGAAGGCCGAGAATGAATGAAACAGCAAACGTGCAGGCTCGCTCGCCTGTTTTTTTCTCGCTCGCCCCGGTTCAACTTTCATGTCTTCGGGTTTCATTTATAACTAGCATTTCTCCAACTGTGATTTACCGTAATCAGGGAATTCATACAGTTTGCATATCGGCTTTTCGATTCATACCTCAATGAACCGAAAAAATACGCAGTCAATCCTTAATTGACTGTGGATGTTTTTCGGTTCATTTGAGGTATGAATTGAAAAAAACAATGTGCAAACTGTATGAATGCGCGGACGTCAATGAACCGAAAAAACACACAGTCAATCATTATAATTAAATTCGACAATGAAAACGTGTATTATCTATAATAGTTTAACCAAAGCGTGATGTATATATCAAAGCAGAAAACAATGACACGATTGTCGTGTAACTTTCCAGGTATTGGAATACATGCTGTGGCGTGACATGAATCAGGCGCTTGTTTAATTAATGCACAAAACTTGACACACCCACAAAACCAGGAGCCAATCAACGGAGAGTAGGATCAAAAACAAAGTTCAAAGGACCTGTCAATCAAGGAAACAGTCGAGAAGATATGCAACAGTCAGAGTTTAACGAACCGGAACGAATATTTCCAAGAAGGTGGCTGTTTCAAATGACAGATTCAAACATGAGTTTCCTGATAACGGGAAGACACAGATGGACATATGCGGGTGAGAAATGAAACCGAAGATATCAAATTTGTGGAACCCAGGCGAGCGGAAAAAAACCAGGCGAGCGAGCCTGCACGTTTGCTGTTTCATTCATTCTCGGCCTTCGGTCTCAAAGGGTAGTTTGGACAATGAATATGCATGACATCCGCTAAATGTCATGTGCATGACGATACACGTGAGCAAAAAGGGAATTCCCTCGGCTGTAATATTGGGATTCCCCGACATTCCGTAGCAATAAAAGAAGTGGGCGTGGCTTAATTATTGACATTGATTGGGAAATAAGTTGGTAACAAATATTAGGATCCGCCACGGAACATACCACACGTTGTATCGCTGAAACCGACTGCACATGCGCACGTGTACGGGGTGACTTTTGTGTTGCATTTCCCCCCGTTCTGACACTCCCCACCGGTGGTAGTGCAAGTCGGAGCTGTAAAGGAAAACATACATGTCAACGGTTGGAGACCAATGTTGTCAAATGGCCTTAGCAATACAAGTAAACTACCGGGCAAAAGAAAGTTTTCACTTTAAAAATAGTTGTATAAAAAGCAAAAAAGCTGGTGCAGGTTTGAACCCCCGCAGAAAACATTCGCCCAAATGCAACATGACCACAACCACAACGCAGATTTTCGAACGCAGCTTTCCAAATCATGCATTGTTGAAAGCGTGCAAAATGTGATTTTGAGACATTGGTCCAAATGCACGTGCGTGATTGTGGCATAAATACCGACGTTGGACAGAGCAGGCATTCAGTAAGCAAAAAACCACCAAGAATATGCTCAGACTTACACAAGCGAGACAGAGCGATCGGTATGGCCAATATGGCGGCTACTCAACGTCAGATAGCCAGAACTTTCACCTGTTCCCAGACCACCATCAGCAAGTGGATAATCCGCTACCAACAGACAGGACAGACTCAAGACCGGCCAAGATCGGGAAGACCGAGAGTGACAACACCGGCCGAAGACCGCTACATCCGGCAGATTCACCTCCGAAACAGATGTGTGACGGGCATGCCATCAGCAGACGAACAGTCCTTCGACGACTTCGTACGGCTGGTATACGAGCCTACCGACCCTTCCGTGGAATGGCCTTGAGCCGTCTACACCGTCAACGCAGACTGCAATGGGAACGAACTGTACGTCGGTAGCAGCGACGTGACTGGGCGAGAGTGCTCTTTACAGATGAAAGTCGGTTCTGTCTGTTCAGGAACGATGGCAGAGTTCGAGTTTTTCGATGAAGGGGAGAGCGACTGGCGCCAAACTGCATTAGAGAAGTTCACCCGTTTGGAGGTGGAGGAGTCATGGTATTGGGTGGCATTTGTGGCCAGATTACAACACGGCTGGTTATCATCCGAGGAAACCTGAATGCTCAGCGATACAAGGATGAAGTGTTGAGACCCATTGTGGTGCCCTTTATTCAACATCAGCCAAGAGGATTAATTTTGCAACAAGACAACGCAAGGCCTCACAACGCCCGAATTGTTCAAGACTACCTGAACAACGTCAACGTCAACGTATTGCCCTGGCCACCTTGTTCTTCAGACATGAACCCCATTGAACATCTCTGGGATCATCTTGATCGTCAGCTGAGACAACATGTACCGCCTCCAGCGAACCGACAGGAACTTGAACAGACTCTATTGAACTTATGGAACAGGAATCCTGTTGACGTTATCCGCCGACTGACGACGTCAATGAGGAGGCGTGTGTTGGCGTGCATGGATGCCCTAGGGTGGTCACAATCGCTATTGATGACGTGTTACCTGACTACTGTGTCATTAATGGACTCTTCATGCACTTTTTCAATGAACTCTGATTTGTGTAATTTTTAATTTGGACCCCTTGACTCTTTCTTTGTGTATTGCGGAGAATGCAATATCGGCATTACAATGCATTTTCATTCTTATTCATGGAAAATCATTTCTGTTTATAAATTTATCATCATAAATCTCACAGATGCCTTTGTTTTTGGTGTTTGGTCAAGTGAAGTCGGTGCAAACTTTCTTTTGCCCGGTAGTTTAGTTTAGACACACTGAAAGTTTCAACACCTCCAGGTATAACGCCATTCAGGTCCGCTCGGCTTATTCTGCGGGCTGCAAATTGCAATGGATGTGATATTGCGCGATTTCACTGTGAGTCACATCACAGCCGCTTATACAGCCGATTTTGAAAACGTGTGGTTTTGCAAAACTATACAATTTGGTATCACACAACAGTTACATAACGGACATAAATCCCGATAGATTGTGCTGTGTAATATAATAGTCAGGTGAACGAGTGAAACTCGTGTATCCAGTTCCAGTATGGATTCGTGCCAATGCCTCTCGAGATGACCTGTTGATGCAGGTTCTCAACCTTCTTGATTCTGAGTGTTATCCCCATAAGGCAACACTATCAGACGCTGGAGTTTTCAGACAAGCTTCACTAACCCTGGTTACCACAGAGACGTCAGATACATGTACGTTTAGTAGTACTACACAACACGCACCTGTTCCACACAGTGTTCCGGTGTAGCCACCAGTACAGGAGCACTTGTTGGGGGAGGATGTACGGTCACAGGTCCCGTTACTGCCGCACTCGTTACCACCGGAAGTACAGATAGGAGCTGGGGGAGAGAGGGATGGTACATGCCTACTTGTTTGAGATTGTTTAAACAGATCACCTTCCACATACAGACATTGAGGCTATAAGAGGGCTGGTCAAAAAGTTCTAAGTCTGGCTAACTTTCAACTAAGGGCCATAACAAAGTGAACTCGCCAATGTAGTGCATTGTGTGAGTAGTTCATTTGGCCTGTTGAGGCCGTTTGTATGTTAGTGACAGCCAGTTGAACGTGATAGGGGTTCAAATAGACACAGAAATGGAAAAGAACAAGTTTTTTACCTCAGAGAAAAGAACTCCCAAAGAAATTCATGACCGTGTATGGGAATAACTGTTCTAGCTATTCCACTATTAAACTTTGGGCAGCTATGTTTAGTGCTGGGTGAATAAGCCTTGATGATGACCCTAGGTCTGGACGTCCCTCAACTTCCATCAATGAAGATTCAATCAGATAGACGTATTACCATTGCTGAACTGGAGGAAGACTCAGGTCTAAGCCACGGATCCATTGAAACTAGTATCCATGAACATTAACAGATGAATAAGGTATCTTTTCGATGGGTGCCACAGTTTCTAAATTCTGATCTAAAGGAAAAAGGAACTGACATAGACAGAGAAAATACAGAGCTAATTGAGGAGGATTTCTTCAAATTCAAAAATAGATTACTAACAGATCTACCACTATAATCCCGAGTCAAAACGTCAATCCATGGAATGGCACCATCCACTTCTCCAGGAACCAAGCCACTGTATTCTGGGATGCAAAGGGTGTGATCAAAAGACGATTACCGGTGCATACTTTGCTGATTTGCTTCATTGCCTGAGAGATTCTATCAAAGAAAAGCGGCGGGGAGTTCCCCTACTTCATGACAATGCCTCTTCTCACACCTTGCAAAGGCGGCTGTGCGAGATCATTGTTTCGAAGAGCTTCCTCATTCTCCATACTCGCCAGACCTGTCACCAAGCGATTTCCACAAGTTTCTTAAACTGAAAGAACGCCTTCGTAGAAAGCGCTAATACGACAAAGCTGCCGTGAATGGGTTTTTCAGGAAGGCTTCAGGAAACTGCTTCCTGACTGGGATTGAAAAGCTTCACTATCGATATGAGAAGTGTATTGAAAAGCATGAGATTATGTAAAAAATATTAATAAAAACACTTTCACAAATGTGTGTTGTTTGTTAGGCTTAGAACCTTTTGACCACCCCTCGTACATGTAGACAGTGTTAACAGCTGGGCTGAAAGAACTTAGTCGACCTACCTACGGTACAGGTATCTCCGGTGTAGTCGTCGCTGCAACCACAGATGTAGGGGGAGGCTGTCGTGTTGCAAGTGCCGTGCGAGCCACATTCAGACCCCCTGACACTGCATTTTGGACCTGAAAATAAGAAACAAATACAGTTATTTGTCGATACCCTTCATTTGCGTTTTAGATTATCGTTTGAGAGATCAAGCGATTCTGGCGTTCAGACAAGACCCCCGGCAGAATCCAACGGCGCCCCCATTACCTGTGGAAGCCTGGGGTTCATGGCCACACTGTGATGAACCAGTAGTTGCCAGATTCATCAAAATCCAACGTTTGTCTATATGTAAGGCTGTACTGACTCTCTGTGAGGTTCAGGTTGGTGGTGACATATGTATTGCAGGTGAGTGGATACGTAGTTTTGCCTAAACATCCCAGGAGATAATAAACAGATGATGTTTGTTTGTTGTTTAACGCCGGACACAGCAATATTTAAACAGCGGTCTGTAAATAATCGCGTCTGGACCGACAATCCAGTGATTGACGTCATGAGCATCGATGCAAGCATTCGTGATACGATGACATGCATCAACCATGTCATCTAGCCTGACCACCCGATCAGCCTGAAGTCGCCTCTTACGCCAAGCAATGATGGATTTGCCTGAATGTTTTTGTGTGAAATGTGAATGTAACCAACGTGTTGAATACAACACAAAACGTCAACGCCAGAGGATGCCCAGTATCGATTATCCGCCGAAACAGATTCCTTTGGGCGTAAACGGCAAAATAATGGTGAAATATATATGAATGGATCACTGAAAATCAGTGATGACACCAGGTACTCGCGAAGTAGTACCGGATTGTTGTGAAAACGAAGAGGGTCAACAACTCTCCTTAATGTTGTGGCGTTAAAACGCACACACACACACACAAAACTACTCACACACGACCATGGAACCAAGACTTACTGGTTTGGCAGGTTTCGCCACCATAGCCGCCGTAACATTGACAGGAATATTTTGTCCCACAAGTATTGCATTCTCCATTGCTTCCACACTGGCTTCCACCGGACGTGCACACTGGCGCTGGAAGACACATATTGTTACATGAATGATAATGAAAATATAGCACTCTGAAATCATAGGACATCAGGGTTGGCGAACAGTCGGGGTTAGTTAACTCGACTTAACTGTTCCACTGTGCAAGAACGTGGTTAATTTGACAAAGTAATGAAGCTATTTCTTTCTTATTTATGTGCCACTACATGTGCTATGGAAGATTTCTGTTTTCTTACAGAAATCTTACATTTTGAAATGCACCATTGTAATCGTCACAATGTGTCTTTAAATATGGCTTTGTTAAGCTTAATGATATGGGCCCGCTTGAACAAAACAATCTTAGCGCTACAGCTATTGTATATCCTTAAGATCGCGATCTTAGGCTTCGGCTACAATCACCAACTTGCAGAAAGGCTAAGATCATTGTAAAATACAGTCAAAACTTCCAATTGTTACGGACCAATCTTAAGCAGCAGAGGTCGTTGTAGTTCCTGAACAAACTTGACAAAATGGCGTTGCAAGACAGGGCCTGTTTCACATTAATCATCTGCTTAACGTTTAAACATTGCCTTTTTGTTTTGTTAAACTGTATGACTCGAATCCGCACTTCAACAGCATGAAGAACGCACCTCAGACTCACCGTCAGAAATATCGTTAATATGCGATCGGGAACATTATAACTGTGGAGTCGATAGCTAAAAGTACCATTCGCACCCAACTCCCTACTGGAAGAAGTGTGGAGAAATGTGAAATATTGTTATATAATTAATACCAAATGAATATATATTAAACAACAACTTTCTCGAAATATCATTTATTATTCTTATTTCCCCTCCCCGTCTTTCGGAGTTTTGAAAAGGTTGTCATGAGATCTTTTCTTATAACAGCAAAACGTACACATGTAGGGTAAATTTAGGATTTTTCGAAAAGCTCCCCAAAATAGATGTGCATTTAACAATGGCCTTATAGGCAGGTATTTCTCTATTTGCGATATCTAACTCACAATTCCTAAATTACGACAGTATCAATGTAGAAAACAATTACATGCCGTCATCCTATTAATCGTTACCTTCAAATAATTGGGACCTTATTTTACAACTGTACATGGTGCGATGGACGAAGGTACGTGTTGTGTGCCCTAACCGGCTCCACTATTGGTATTTGCAGACATCTGTAAAAAGGAGTCGAGTTTAAGATATTCGTACCTCGACCGTTGAATATTTCGACCTTAGCTAACATCGCGATCTTTAATCTAAGCCGCCTCCAATCGCGTAAAGATCGGTTTGTGCAATGGGAACTGGACAATTGTATGGTGATTGTACAGTTGATTCTAGGCGTCTTAGATTGCTCTGTGCACGTGGCCACACTAGCATATAACCCTCGTTGCTGTAACGATAATGAGATATACATACACTATAATAACACAATATCATCTTAAGTCTAATACAAAATTCATCTTTGCGAATATATTTTTGACATTTGTTGATATATTTCATTGAGCCAAGGTACATGTTATTTACCAGTGTTACACAGGTCTCCAGAGTAGCCACCAGTGCAGCTACAGACGTAGGTAGATGTGGAGTTATCACAGGAACCGTGGCTGCCACACTCACTTCCACCGCCAGTGCAGATGGGGGCTGTAGATATTCACAAATGAATAAACTGTATGAAAAAGGGGGCTGACAACAAACAGGCATACTCCTGACCTTCCTGACGTCATCAGTTATCAAACAATTGGACAATAACATCGCAGCGGAGTTATACACGTTCCGCTGTTATTTTCAGTCTACGAATTGACCCTGTAATGTTTTGTTCTTGGTGTGTGTGTGTTTATTCAAGTCAAAAAGGCCACTGGCCCACAGGACATACATTGTCAATATTAAAACAAAATAGATAGTTACAATATACACGAGAGGATTAAAACAATATATATACATAACAACAAGCAATTATTGATGAAGTGTAGGATACAGTTTAAAAGCGAAACATATGTATTTACTTAAATTTAACAGTGTTTGAGGGCATGTTTTCTTCTTTAAAAAAAATGGAAGTTGTCTCAACAGGCTTACATGTTAAAAGTGTAGTCATTCTTAAACTAGTTATTTATTGACAGTTCTTCATGAGCAAAACACATTTTATTTACCAGTTTTACACAAATCTCCAGAATAGCCATCGGTGCAGCTGCAGACGTAGGTAGATGTGGAGTTATCACAGGAACCGTGGCTGCCACACTCACTCCCACCGACAGTACAGAGGGGGGCTGTAGTGATCACATTGATGGGAACATTTACAAATAATTCATGAAGTAATTACATTAAAATACCTCAAAACAGACTTTAATACAGAGTTTAAATACAGAGATTAAAGAGGTTTCGAATCTAAGTTGAGACGACTTCAAATTTCAAACCATTGTAGTTTATCTTCTAATTCTACCATGGCTCTGGACTTTTAACGATTCTAAAGGCCTCTTCATCCCGGAAGTTTATATTTATAGGAAGCGCTTTTTCTCAAAATCTGTCCGTAGGCATAAAATAATATGATGACAAAAAGCAGAGTTGCGGTTACTATAATATTCAAAACATATATTGGGCAATACATTCTGAGGAGAAAACATATCAACTTTTCAAGTTTTAGGGACTACAGAGAAAATTAAATTTGGCGCGTTTCTGAAGGCGAATGTGACCTACGGTGCGACGCCCGGTAAAGAACTAAACCCAATCAGTCGTCGAATGTTTATTTGGGGATGCCCAATTCCAACTGACTTACGAAGTTGATGTGCTACACACTTCCAATACCTGTTATAAGTCTAATATAATGATTTATATAATACAATGTTCAAGCATATAAAGCTCCATGTTTTGTGCGGGGCGGTCGGGTAGCCTAGTGGTTAAAGCGTTCGCTCGTCACTCCGAAGACCCGGGTTCGATTCCCGACATGTGTACAATGTGTGAAGCCCATTTCTGGTGTCCCCCGCCGTGATATTGCTGGAATATTGCTTAAAGCGGCGTAAAACCATACTCACTCACTTACTCACCCATTTTTTGTGTGAAAAGTCTGTTTCATTTATTCAAATCCACAACTCATTCAAAACATTGACTAAACCATACCACTTCAATATATTCGTTGACACCAACTGGTTCGCATTTACTTTCGCCCTGGAGTAATTGCGATAAAGATACCGTATTTTCAATGTTCAGCTAGGTTGTTCAAAGCCGTGTTAACCCAATTCACTCACTCACTCACTCACTCACTCTGTTGTGATTCGGTCACTCACCTGTTGTGAATCGGTCACTCACCTATTGTGAATCGGTCACTCACCTGTTGTGAATCGGTCACTCACCTGTTGTGAATCGGTCACTCACCTGTTGTGAATCGGTCACTCACGCTGTTGTGAATCGGTCACTCACCTGTTGTGAATCGGTCACTCACTCTGTTGTGAATCGGTCACTCACCTGTTGTGAATCGGTCACTCACCTGTTGTGAATCGGTTACTCACCTGTTGTGAATCGGTCACTCGCTCTGTTGTGAATCGGTCACTCACGCTGTTGTGAATCGGTCACTCACCTGTTGTGAATCGATCACTCACCTGTTGTGAATCGGTCACTCACCTGTTGTGAATCGGTCACTCACCTGTTGTGAATCGGTCACTCACCTGTTGTGAATCGGTCACTCATCTGTTGTGAATCGGTCACTCACCTGTTGTGAATCGGTCACTCACCTGTTGTGAATCGGTCACTCACCTGTTGTGAATCGGTCACTCACGCTGTTGTGAATCGGTCACTCACCTGTTGTGAATCGGTCACTCACCTGTTGTGCAGGTATCGCCTTTGTAGCCACCAGTGCAGCTACAGAAATAGGTGCCCGTGGCGGTGTCACAGAATCCATGCGAGCCACACTCACTGCCAGCGCTTGTGCAGATGGGGGCTGAAACACACATACATACATCATCAGAAAAAAATAATAATGAATAAAGCGACAAAACCCTTTCCATATCCAATAAAAGTCGCTGCATAAAGCAGAGTCGATTGTACGATTCCGACTATATCATGAACATGTGTTTATGAATCACTGTCAAATAGTAATGATTCCAGGTGTTCTCGAAAAGGTGAGCGTATCCTGCTCCTCAGATGTCACCCGTCACAAACACATGCAAAGGCAAAAAACAAAAACACGGCAACATATGATACAAGTCAAACTAGGGCATCGTTTTTGTCACTGATGCGTCAAATTTGAAAATGTCCCACATGTCTACTATAACACTTTTGTGAAAGCTTTACTAACATCATTCCGGGCCATATATGTTCAGCTATGGCATACTGGGCTGAACAATAATATATGTAGGTTAAGCACATGTGAGGTGAGGCGAGGTGAGGTGAAATGGGGTTTAACGTCGCGTCCAAGATGATTGCACTTATATAGCGACGTGCATGCATGTGTGTGTGTTTGTGTGGCTGCTTGTACTAGTCCGGACTGATGCCGATTAATAGTGCTAGCTCACTGAGATACCATGCCGCAGTTTAACATGAATACCCCACTCAGACACAGTATACTGACTCCGAGCCGACCAGTCCTTGTTTTAGCCCTTTAATGCCGAGCGCCAGACAGGGTAACAACAAATACCATCTTTAAACGTTTTTTGGTATGACGCGGCCGGGGATCGAATCCCGGACTTTCCGCTCTCCGGGCGGACGCTCTACTACAAGACCACGGAGGCGGTCTGTGAAGCACATGTGAAACACTGGCAATTCATATATTCATATGCGCCACCAATTCATGAAAAATAAGGTCAAGCTGTATTATCGTTTTTTTAACGAGTGCGTATAATTCCCACTGCTCAATCCTACAACTGGAAATGGAAACTAAAAAAACTTTTCTTTACCTTGAACGCTAGTATCGTATTCCATAAAAGTAACCGATTCAAATACGGGCGATTTCTTAATCCAGTGTTTGAACCCAAGTCATATAACAACGTGAAGATGAAACATGGGTTGTACTGAGATCAAGATTACGTCGTCGTGTCCCCAGTCATGGCGTGGCTGTAAGATTGCTGTACGTGGCCCTAAAACCCAACCACTCATGCTTTTGACTATAAATGAATTGGGAAATAATTTTTTTTTCTGAAATAAATTAAGATCCACTATATCATACAAACCCCAGGGTAACTGTTGTGTCATGTTTTGACCTATGGGAACAGAACAGGAAGGAAAATGCGATATGAGATATGCTGATCTGGATGGCTTCTTAAGCGGATTGACCCGGGAAGATCCGGGTTAGAATACCATGCTTGCTATAAAAGGCGTCCATGCTTGTAGTAGGAGGCGACAAACGGGATCAGGTGTTCAGGCCCGCTGACTTGGTTGATGCATGTCATCGTGTCCAAATTGCGTGGATCGATACTCATGATGTCAATCACTGGATTGTCTGGTCCAGACTTATTTACAGACTGCCGTCATATAGCTGGAATGTTTCTGAGTGCGGCGTTAAACAACAAACAATCAAACAAATCAAACAAGTGGATTAATTAGTTAACACATCACACATACTCAGTCTCAGTCAAATGGTACTGATATTGACTTGGAAATGTAACCGGATGGGGAATGAAGAGAAAAGGATTTCACATAAAAAAAAATTATTTGAAAAACATTTTTGGTATTCATACAACCAACCTGTTGTGCACGTGTCGCCCCTGTAGCCATCAGTGCAGCTACAGACATATTTGTTGGTGGAGTTATCACAGGAACCATGCGAGCCACACTCATTGCCACCTCCAGTACAGATGGGGGCTGAAGTTTAATTCTAGTACATTAACTTGCCATTGATATATATATATATATATAACTTTACGTTTACTTTCTGAAAAATATTAACGTATTGAACACACGTAAAATTTAACCACCTGTTTTTTTTGTTTGAATAATGAATTTTGTTGAACCTCAGTGTTGTGAAACTTTTTCCATTACAAACGTCGTGTGGAGAAATTTAGAGGTATTTTGACTAATATACTTCTTGACACAAAGGACCCGTGAAGATCCGGGGTAGAATAGGTCTTCAACAACCCATGCTTGCCGTAAAAGGCGACTATGCTTGTCGTAAAAGGTGACTAACGGGATCAGGTGGTCAGGCTCGCTGATTTGGTTGATGCATGTCATCGATCCAAATTGCGTGGATTGATGCTCATGATATCACTCCTTGGATTGTCTGGTCCAGACTCGATTATTTACAGAGCGCCGTCATATAGCTGGAATATTGCTGAGTACGGCGTAAAACAACAAACCAACCAACCAACTTCATACAAAGAGTTGATACATAGGAAGCAAGTATTTTGCGTCAGGAATGAGCTTGTAATGTGCCATTAATTGCCGGTCGCTCACCTGTTGTGCACGTGTCGCCCCTGTAGCCATTTGTGCAGCTGCAGACATATGTGTTTGTGGAGTTATCACAGGAACCATGCGAGCCACACTCGTTGCCACCTCCAGTGCAGATGGGGGCTGAAGCGGAAATATTGCCTTGGCGTTTGTAAAGGTAATCTCGCCTTAGAATATACTAGAATGTTTGAAGACTGATTTAAAATACTGTTTGTTTGAATGAGTACTTCAAAATGTTGTCAGGTTTGACATTAACAAGCCGTTTGCCCAGGTTTTCTTTAGCATCATTATTTGGAGAATATCTGATGCAGTTTGATTGTCCTTAAAGCTCAAAAAGGGACCACGGATATCTAGATCCCAACTTCGGAATTAAACCAAATAGGATAAATGTAGCTGGAACAGACTTTGATACTCTTTTCGTTGAGAAAGAATTTTGTTCATAGTTAAAAATCGGCGATTGGCAATTCTCGAATGCGAATTTCTGGATCATTGTACTTTGACAAATTATACAAGAGTGTACTATTTATATACATAATTATACAGAGTCCTACATTATGGCATTTTCACCTTTATCGTTGAAATGTTTTGTTGTAAAATGACATTTAATTAAGTTTGATGAGTTTGCACATATAATTAAATGTGCTTTAACGAATGAGATACACACACTGTAATAACATTAACATTTTAAATCTATATCAAGTTCACATTTGTGAATATAATTTCAAGATGGAACATAATTCAAATGACATTATACTTTATGGATAATGGGCTAGTTATCAATTATCAGATGCTATGTATTGATAGTTCATAAAAGTCAAAGGCTATTTTTCATTTACCAGTGTTACACAGGTCGCCAGAATAACCCCCAGTGCAGCTGCAGACATAGATTGACCTGGTGTTATCACAGGAACCGTGGCTGCCACACTCACTTCCACCGCCAGTGCAGATGGGGACTGAAAAATATATACAATAAATAAACACTTCTTCAAAGAGTCTATAAACAAGTACACTTAATATCCCAGCAAGGTAGCGTATATCTCCAGAAGAATGCGGATCCTGCTTCGGACAAATGTGTGGAAGTATACAGGCGTAGAATAGTATGAACCACTGTTGTTTCTTTGTATGTTAAAGATTGAAGTTCAAGTTCAAGTAAGTGTTCAAAACGACACCGAATTTAACACACTCTTTGCATTGTACCTTGACAAATTATACAGTGATGGAGAGTCCTACATTATGGCATGTTGACCTTTCTCGTTGAAATGTTTTGTTGTAAAATGACATTTAATTACGTTTGATGAGTTTGTAGAAATAATTAAATGTACTGTAACGAATGAGATACACACACTGTAATAACATTAACATTTTAAATCTATATCAAGTTCACATTTGTGAATATAATTTCAAGATGGAACATAATTCAAATGACATTATGCTTTATGGATAATGGGCTAGTTATAAATTATCAGATGCTATGTATTGATAGTTCATAAAAGTCAAAGGCTATTTTTCATTTACCAGTGTTACACAGGTCGCCAGAATAACCCCCAGTGCAGCTGCAGACATAGATTGACCTGGTGTTATCACAGGAACCGTGGCTGCCACACTCACTTCCACCGCCAGTGCAGATGGGGACTGAAAAATATATCCAATAAATAAACACTTATTCAAAGAGTCTATAAACAAGTACACTTAATATCCTAGCAAGGTGGTGTATATCTGCAGAAGAATGCGGATCCTGCTTCGGACAAATGTGTGGAAGTATACAGGCGGAGAATAGTATGGACCCCTGTTGTTTCTTTGTATGTTAAAGATTGGAGTTCAAGTTCAAGTAAGTGTTCAAAACGACACCGAATTTAACACACTCTTTGCATTGTACCTTGACAAATTATACAGTGATGGAGAGTCCTACATTATGGCATGTTGACCTTTCTCGTTGAAATGTTTTGTTGTAAAATGACATTTAATTACGTTTGATGAGTTTGTAGATATAATTAAATGTACTGTAACGAATGAGATACACACACTGTAATAACATTAACATTTTAAATCTATATCAAGTTCACATTTGTGAATATAATTTCAAGATGGAACATAATTCAAATGACATTATGCTTTATGGATAATGGGCTAGTTATAAATTATCAGATGCTATGTATTGATAGTTCATATTAGTCAAAGGCTATTTTTCATTTACCAGTGTTACACAGGTCGCCAGAATAACCCCCAGTGCAGCTGCAGACATAGATTGACCTGGTGTTATCACAGGAACCGTGGCTGCCACACTCACTTCCACCGCCAGTGCAGATGGGGGCTGAAAAATATATCCAATAAATAAAACACTTCTTCAAAGAGTCTATAAACAAGTACACTTAATATCCTAGCAAGGTGGTGTATATCTGCAGAAGAATGCGGATCCTGCTTCGGACAAATGTGTGGAAGTATACAGGCGGAGAATAGTATGGACCACTGTTGTTTCTTTGTATGTTAAAGATTGAAGTTCAAGTTCAAGTAAGTGTTCAAAACGACACCGCATTTAACACACACTTTGCGTGAATAAACATATGGTCTCGACTTAAATACCTTCGGAGAACTTCATGATTGTCAGATCTTGGACATTTCTAAAAATTCCTTTTGGCATTTTGTTTTCTTTTTAGTTTCTTTTTAATATGAGTCGCTGAGGATGCTCACAAGACGCTTAGATGGTGTCAATATACGCATTGCTCATTTACCGCTGTATTCAACACCATTGGGTCACGGGAGCTCAACAGCTACCACCAGCTACACTATTATGGTTTTATAGTGTCCATGTTCAACGTCATACGTGTTTATTTCTATATAAAACCCCGCTTTAAAGAAGTCTACTGTTTGTTATTAGTTACAAACCCATGGATATTAGATCTATTTAATATTAGATTTACATTTTTTGTGTAGACTGTACTCTCGATTAACGTATGATAATCTATTGCAAGTCTTAAACTATTTGATATGTTGTGTGAAATGTCAGCAATGAGTAAACGCTTTATTTTTTTTCGTTCAATGACGTTACAATCTCTGTATTCAGCAACCCATGCTTGCCGTAAAAGGCGACTATGCTTGTCGTAAGAGACGACTAACGGGGTCGGGTGGTCAGGCCCGCTGACGTGGTTGATGCATGTCATCGAATCCAAATTACGTGGATCGATGCTCATAATGTCATTCACTGGATTGTCTGGTCCAGACTCGATTTTTTTACAGACCGCCGTCATATAGCTGGAATATTGCTGAGAGCGGCGTTTAACAACAAACAAACAAACACAAACAAACAAACCTGTTTTGCAAGTGCTTCCTCTGTACCCATCAGTGCAGCTACAGAAATATGTGCTCGTGGAATTATCACAGGAACCATGCGAGCCACACTCATTGCCACCTCCAGTACAGATGGGAGCTGTAGGTATTCACAAATGAATTAACTGTATGAAAAAGTTATCGTTGTCGAGAACTAATAATATTTCATATGTCCCATATTCGACGATTACGGTATGTCATAGTGAGGCACACGGATAGTATCGAGAAAATGATATAATTGAAATAAATTTTGTTCGGCCTTCAAATATATTGGCTTTCAAATTTGCAATTGATAAAAAGACTGGACAATCTTACATTTTGAAATACCGCCTTTTCTTAATCTTGACAAAGTTTTTCTCAAGATGATGTTTTGTTGAGCTTAATGATATTATGAACATTTAATTCATTTTGTGTAACTATAATGAGATATACATACGCCATTTTCAAACAATAGCACCTTAAGTCTATATCAAAATTAACATTTGCGAATATAATTTCCATGTGGTTCTTTATTCGAATTATAGTTCACGTTATACAATGGGTAGTTTGTAGCAATGTATAATACACTAGCTTAAATGTACAGTTGTCATCCATTGATAGTTTTCAAATAACAAGTGTGCTTTTCATTTACCAGTTTTACACAGGTCGCCAGCATAACCCCCAGTGCAGCTGCAGACGTAGGTTGACGTGGAGTTATCACAGGAACCGTGGCTGCCACACTCACTCCCACCGCCAGTGCAGATTGGAGCTAAACGATAAATGCAATATCCTTCTGATGAATGAACTTCTATCGACGCAGGGATGGTAGCAGCTAGTTAATACAGAAAGCAGATTTTCTGGCAATCAATTACAAACATACACATATATTGTAATAAAAGCGAAAGTAAAAACAACTTTTTTGACGTGGGTCGTTACCGACATTCCATAAAGAAAATGTTATTTATTCATCCAAAACACAAATACGAATGCTTCAAAACTCAAAGATTACCAAAATAATTATATAGTTCACTGTATGAAAGCAATTTGTTGCTGATATTATACCTGTTTTGACGAACAATTCACTTCAGGTCATATCATATACATAAAGGTTATTTATTCCAATATGGGACCTTTTCACATTTGCGTCTTTACACGGTTATATTACTAGAACATCACAATGGAACATCAGCATCCAGTTGAAATAACTACGTTTATAACGAACACGCTTATAACGAACTAACGGATACAACGAACTGCTTTTTGGTCACGGCCATTAACTGTATGTTGTATATATGCTTATAAGGAACTAAAAGTAGTGGTTCATTTGTTGTAACCGTAGTTTACTGTTCCTCAAATGATTTTCTTCATAATATGGAGATTTGATCTAGAAATTATATATTGTTCCTGTTGATGTTGTCTTCATTCACAAGTATTCACACAAATTAATGTACCCCATAGCTCTCTTTAGTAAATTGTATATAGAGTTGTTGAGAAAAGAGTAGACTAAGCGCTACAAATCTCAGTCAATCAGATACATTTCATTAAAAGAACATAACATTGGTTTTAGGATTAGGAATTTTAGATTGTAAGGAAACGCTAAACTGTTTTATTACAGAATGAATCACATGACATGTAAGGCTTCCCACACCAATAATGATATATATATTGTGGTTAATGGGGATGCGTTTGTACTAAACATGAACATACGTATGGTGCAGTCGTCACCGCTGTAGCCGTCTGTACACGTGCATGTTGTGCTACAGGCAGTGCCACATGTTCCATGGCCGTTACAGCTGTCGTTGCTCAGACAAACACCAGCAGCAACACCTTGAATGAGAGTGGCTCCAAGAACCAGTGCTATTTAAATGGAAATATAGAGATATTAAATTAACATAGTAACAAAAAGACAGGGGAACGAGTGGCCCATTAGTCAAAGGCTTTTTAGGTTTGTCAGCACTATACCCGTGCTCGTAGGTTTCACCAAAGTGATAATCGTCTAAGATCTGCATCACGTCGGGCTTTCCTCCCACATGATGCTGATACGCCTAGACATAGCTGAAATGCTGTTCACAACGACGTTAACCCAAACTCACTCATTTACGGGGAGAAACTGATAAGTCTTGTCAATCATAGGATAACTGTGAGGCCACAAAAAGAGAATCTGGCAAGTAATTGTGAGAAGCTAATGTACCTTTTCCCTTTAGGTTCCAAATGACATTTCCAAATGGCATTGAAAACTGGTACTAGTACTCAGTAAAACCCGAAAATATGGAAACCAATAATTTTTCTCAACATTGTTATTAAAAAATTATGGGTTAACTTTTTCGCTGATTATTTTCTACGTTTACTCGAACAGATTTGTTACATACAAATGATGAGAAAAGTCAACAACATTCTGATTTCTGATAAGTATTGTCACGTGGCAGTAGAGATTGTACTAAGTTTATTTGAAGTGATTGTTATCGGCAGCAAATTTGTGAAACGCTCGTAACATGTCGAGTGCTAAAGTGGCCAGATTCTAACAGGAAGTGTGATTTAGAGTTGCTTCCCTTGGTTGTTGACAAACAACTTGATCGTTCGAGAAGTTTCGTGATGTGACAGGTTCTAGAAGGCTGTAACAACATAAATGCAACACGAGACCGTTTTATGGTCATTGCGTCCTATCTAGTCGACAAGTGCGGACGGTATACTCTCAAAACTAACGAATTCTTGCTAGTTTCCAACACCCTGCCGGATTCAGCAGTGTCAGGGACAAAATCTGGACATAAGTGCACTAATATGTTAGAGGGCCTGTTAGTCATTGGTGTTGACCACGTAGTTGACCCATTGTATGATTTGTGTAGATTGTAAACCTACAAATTCCGGCCTTCGGAACCCATTTAATAACCAATCAGATTTCAGCACTAACTGTCATTTGAGCGCACCAAGAAAGGGATTCAAATATTGTAGCCATGTGAGGGGTCGAACTCGGGTAATCGGCTTGGAGAGGTAACACTTTAACCATTACGCTACATTCTAGGAGTGTAGTAGAACTGACATAAAATAAGAAAAGAATGCCGATAAAAATATGTTTAGAACGTATCAAACTATAAAAACATTCACAGACACCAATACTTGATAAGAGTTATTCAATAAGGTTGAAACATTACCTCGAAACAAAGATTGTGTATGCTACGACAAGCAAAGGAACCCTCAACCAAGGATCTTACGTAAAAAAGACAAACCCTTTCTAGATTCATAAGAAATGTTTCGTGAAAGTAGAATCCATTGAACGGTTCCGACCCCTAATATATCATAAGCATGTGTTTATGTATGACAATCAAATAGTTATGATACCAGGTGTTCGCGTAAAGGTATCCTCCAACTCCCCAGGGGACACCGTCACTACCAACGTTATCATTGTAAACGAACGTTGTAGTTCAATTAGCATATATCTGTGCAATCATTTGATTAAAATTCTACAAAACCTTAGAGTGAAGCAAACGAGAACAAATACAACGCTGGGGAGACTAATTTGTCCAACGAATGCGTCATTTACCAAGCGCCTTTACACAAATCCAAAAAGTAATCGAAGTACCTTGGCCCGTGGTAATTGATGCTGTGTACATTGGCTTCTTCATGGAGACTGATCCCCACCCTCAGCAGGGGGGAGGGGAACTATGTACTGTGGGAAAATCCACGTGGAGAGGGAATCAAGTGGCCGGCGATATACCTGTTAATGTTTGCGTCGTTGTTCGGAGAGCTACCAGACACCACTTCTCGCGTGAACATGTCAATGTGCTTGCTTGAACACGTCGATATGCTTGCTTGAACACGTCGATATGCTTGCTTGAACACGTCGATATGCTTGCTTGAACACGTCGATATGCTTGCTTGAACACGTCGATATGCTTGTATTCGTTTGAAAATTTATGTATGATCAGTTTTATTAGTTTTGGACCAAGGACACCGAATGCACACAATTGCCTACATACGAAGACAAGCTTGGGACAGGGCTTACTCGGCTAATAAAATCTACACAACAAATTTTTGTATTTACATAACTTCTGGAAAGTAATTGTACTACTACTACTACTACTACTACTACTACTACTACTACTACTACTACTACTACAACTACTACTACTTCTTTTCCACTACTGCTTCTTCTACAACTACTACTTCCACTATTACTACAACTACTACTTCTTCTACCTCTACTACTACTACTACTACTACTACTACTACTACTACTACTACTACTACTATTAATACTAATACTACTAATGCTACTACTAAAACTACTACTATTTTCACTACTACTATTCTACTTTTACGACTACCACTTCTACAACTACTACTTCCACTTCCACTTCCATTACTACTACTACTACTACTACTACTACTACTACTACTACTACTACTACTGCTACTACTACTACTTCTTCTTTTCCACTACTGCTTCTTCTACAACTACTACTTCTTCTACCTCTACTACTACTACTACTACTACTACTACTATTAATACTACTACCACTAATGCTACTACTAAAACTACTACTACTAAAACTACTACTATTCTACTTCTACGACTACCACTTCTACTACTTCCACTTCCACTACCACTACTACTACTACTACCAGTCCAGTGATCTAGTGCATGATCAAAGGTCATGACATCCGGTTAGTGTACATTCCAAGTTTCAGCTCCCAAGAGAACATGCCATCCAAGCTGCCCGCGAGGCGCTAATGACTTGACTCATACTTTTCCAGGCACAGTAGTTTACTTTTATATGGCAGACAATGATTGTCACTGTATTATATTGTTTCTTTTGAGATTCAGTAGCAATTCATTGCATTGCATTTGGAGAATGATTAGTTTTCAGGAGTGTGGTACTATATAATGTAAGTAGTGGTGAGGATGTTATTATATTTAGATGCTCGAATTATCTGTAAATTTCCGAAATAGCATGGATGGATGACAAGCGTTATAGAAACATGTGGAATATAATGTGATGTTATAATGACACTGGACTGGTCAAGCACTTTGTGGTAAGTGCTGGAGGGGGCGCGCCCCTGTCAGATCTCACATTTCACCTCACATTTCAACTGACATTCCATCAAGACCATCTTTTGTGTGAGGATCACTTACCACCCCGGATTCCCAGCCTAATCCTATCTCGGAAGCTTGACCACTGTTGCTGATAGTTGAATATTTCTATCACTGAACTGTTTGATATCACCACTCCATTATATTGAGTATTTGATACTGCCATTGAATATTGTACTACCATCTGTTGCCATTGTTATTGCAATGCAGTAATTTGTATTGATTTGTAAACCTAGTTAATTTTGTAGTACAATTGTTGATTATATACCATATCTTGGTTGGTTGTTGGTTTCACACTAAACTCTTTAAGGTCCAGGTTTCTGGGTTAACATATTGTTTCAATTTGGGAATCGACACGTAACATTTACATGACTAGCTATTGTGAGTTGCAAAGGCAATAATAGCAGTCGGAGAAAGTGCAGCAATTTGTTGTGCAGAGTTGCATCCCTTAGATGTGTCAGAAACCTTTGACTGTGGGTTCGAATCCCGGTTCACCTTGCTTAGGTTTAAGGTAGAGAATGTAGAGATATCAAAGTAACATTGGAACTGTGTCACAGGGGCGCGAGTGGCCGATTAATCCTAGGCTAGGTTTGTCAGCACCATACACGTTTCACCTAAGTAGTATACGTCTAAGACCTTCATCACATATTGTTTTCTCCCACATCAAGCCTGACACGCCGTGATATAACTGGAATTCCGTTCAAAGCGGCGTTCAACCCAACTCACTCACACACTCTTTGTAGATAAAGAACAAATCGTCAACTCCAGACAATAATCAGTCTCGAATATGTGCAGAAATAGATTCCATAGTGCCAAAAGCATAAGTACGGATCACCAGGGTTCCGCGAAAAGGGCCAAGTAGAACTAGTCATCGCGACAGTTTTCTTTAACAAGGGGAACAAAACCATCACAATTATTAGGTCAGGTTCATAATTGAAATCTTTTGATTTTCGTCCACATAACTAATTTCTCAAAACAGTGTCATCAGTACTAACAGCGTTCATACAGGCAAATCCAGCGTTACTGTGACAAACGTTTGTGCTGTCAGGACACAGAAAGGAATGAGTACTTATGTGATAAAATATAACCTACCGGTCACCAGTAGAGGCAGAACGTTAGCCATGATGTAAGGCTACAGGGCGCTCCTTGCTCGATTTGTTTTCTTCAGTTCAAATTGCCTGATTTAATACCCCCTGTATCCACAACACAACCTTTGAATGCTGTAGCAACACAACATATTAATGTGTGGAGACATGGACAGGTGATAGAGCCAGCCTTAGCAACATCAATAGTGATAATGCTGGTGAAGCATGTCTTCCAATGAAACAAAAGGTCAAGATGGATGATTGTGAATCTTTAACCAATCGTTGTCGAGTCCAAAGCCGGGCATTACACATAGCCGGAATTGATTACAGTGTAAACAGGATATGTCGACATGACAGATAACACATAATATTTCATGTTTTGGGCGTTACCATGTTCACAAATCATGTAAAAACTAGTAATTTGAAAATAACTTTAGGGTTTGAAATCCTGTTAAATATTGCAAAGACCTTGAGACCTTCTCTGTAGACTATATTATTGAATTGTTTGATAGGCATTATTTAGAAGTTGTACAACTGTATAAGGATCTATACCGAAACGTCACTATCACAGTTATTGAAGAAGTTGTCTACTTTAAAATATTCAACTATTATGCGAAATAACATCGGAATAAATATCTTCCACACAATATATATAAATCTGTTAGCGCGTTCATCATTGCGTCCTTTGAGAAGATGGTCTTTAACTCCTGTTTCCTGATATCAGTATTCGATTATGTGTAATTGCGTACTGTTTGGTGTAGTGGGGTTATGAGTGTGACCAAATGCCATGGTTTCCCAGCTTGTTTACATTGGCCGCTGCTGCTAGTAATGTATCATGTGCAAATACATCTCACTTTCAAGCAAACGCCATCAATAAACTTACCTTCTGCCTGCACCAACTACCGGGCTTTCTGTAGATATGGATTATAGAGAGTGAGTTGGGTTTAAACGCTGCTTTCAACAGTATTCCAGTTATTTCAGCGTGTCAGCTAAATGTGAGAGGAAAGCCCGAAGTGATGCAGGTCTCAGACGTTAACCACTTCGGTGAAACCCACGAGCACGGGTATGGTGCTGACAAACCTATAAATATAGTCGGGGCGAATCGGGATTCCAACCCACAATCATAGGTTTCTGGCGTGCCCAAGGAACGCAACTCTGCACAGCGAAACGCAGCGCCTTAGACGACTGGGCCACCCGTGCCACCTATGGATTATAGAGTAGGGAACGTGTTGATGGCTTCTTGGGACAGTCTCAAGTATCATCACAGACACTGAGTCTATCCATTTCACCCTTCCGCAAATACACACATGTTTTGACTTGCTCACTGTTAAAAAGAAATTGTGATTGTTTGGTTGTTCACATGTACCGTGGAAACACCGTGTTGGGAGAGGTCCCCAGGAACACATGCTGGTCGTAAGAAGACCGACCATCGGATGGTTAGCCTCGTTGACTTAGTCATCCGTGTGTCATCATACCCCAGCGTGGATCGTTTCTCGTGATATTGTTATGACTTCCAAACTGAAATCAGACAAACTTGTGAAATCAGTAAGTTATCACGCAAGATACAATCCTGACATTTTTCGAACGATCAAACCTTCCATGTTCAGGTGCACAAAGAGGGGAGATAACTCTAATTCTGGTACTAAACTATCCTGGAAAGCCTCACTCGCCGCCGTTGACTGCTGTTCAAATGTGTCCACGACAGCACTTGATATTCCTGTCTAGCCAATCACCGGCTGCCAGTGATAGTAACAACTGTTTTAACTGTTATACGACACTTGCTAAAAAGTTGTTTGATCAAGGTTACACCATTCAAGGCCTCAGCAAAGCTTTCAAAATGTTTTATGGTGGAGGGGGACATGTACATATTTGATGTCCTATGCAATATCCTATTTTGACTTGTACCATATGTTCCCGTGATTTTTTCAGGCGAATAATTGACTTGCCTTTGAATGTGTTTGTGACGGATGCCACCGGGTGGGATCCAGCAGGTATCATCACTATTTGATAGCGATTCATAAACACATGCTCATGATATAGTCGGAGTCGTAAAACCGACATTTTTTTAACAATTGACAAATGATTTGCCTTTGCGTATTTATGACGGGTGCCACCGGTGCGACAGGATCGCTCACCTTTTCGCGAACCCCTGTTATCATCACACTGACAGCGATTCATTAACACGTGCTCTTGATAAAGTCGGAATCGTTCAATCGACATTCAGCAGAGATCTCTTGATGCTATCATGGAAAGGGTTTTGTCGCTGTTATTTACACATAACGCTATAAATCACTGGTTTGTCGGATATTCGATAATTTACAGGCGCCGCGATAAAGGTTGAATATTGCTGAGTACGGCATTACACGAAACCTGTGTTCACCTATAATATACGAACAGCTGATTAAATCTACATGTGATAAGTATTCTGTTCAATAGATTCATGTAACTTTATCGGAAATGCGTAAACGTACTACATTATCTTTACAGATCAACCTTCACAAATAATGTGTTTCGAAATCTGTTTCAAGATAAAATCCTACAATTATAGGACATGACCAGTTGACAGCAAGTTAAATAACGTGTGCTACTAACGTCAATAGTTTATAGGAATATCAGCTAAGATGCTTTCGAATTCAGTTAGGAATTTCAGTTGGTCGACAATACTGTGCAAACAGTGCACGGTTCAACAAAGCCAAAGCTTGGGCAGGATGAGTGGGGTACACGGATATAATTTCCTAATCCAAGTTAATCTTCTGTACAAGGAAGTTGAACACGATATTGACAGCACATAAAGCACTGAAAAAACTAAAGCTTATTATTTGTCGGCTATCAAACCTCACACAACTGTCAGTTGAAACTCTGGTTCGGTAAACAACATAAAATCTCTCGTGGAAGGTTTGAAGCGGAGTGAATTTTCCAACATCATCAAACTTTCCATAATAAACAAGGGTTGATGAATGCAAGTAGGTGATACACACATTGCCGTGGTCGAAAGTTGTTTGATCAAGGTTACAACAGTTAATGAATCGGTAAAGCTTTCAAAACGTTGTATGGTAGACATGTGGATTTTCAAATTTAACGCATCAATGACAAAAATATGTCCGATACAGTTCTCTTATTTCATTTGTATCATATATTCCAGTGTTTTTCGGATGGGCAGCTGGCTTGCCTTTGCATGTGTTTGTGACGAGTGTCACCGGTGGGGCAGGATACGCTCACCTTTTCGTGAACACCTGGTGTCATCAATGTTTGATGGTGATTCGTGGACACATGCTCATGATACAGTCAGAATCGTGCTGCCTTCAGAGATTGTTTTGTGAATATGGAAAGGGTTAGTAGTTTACTCACATTATGTGAAAATGTTATACCGGGTATCTCAAGAGAAGGTGACAGCGATAGAGTATTTTAAGTTATCGGTAGTAGTATTATACATCACGTGCTTATCACGAGGGGAATACGGTATGATGTCCCCTCTGTGGGAACGTGTACACCGAGGGATACCCTACCGCCATGTTTGTACACCGAGGGATACCCTACCGCCATGTTTGTACACCGAGGGATACCCTACCGCCATGTTTGTACACCGAGGGATACCCTACCGCCATGTTTGTACACCGAGGAATAGCCTACCGCCATGTTTGTACACCGAGGGATACCCTACCGCCATGTTTGTACACCGAGGGATAGCCTACCGCCATGTTTGTACACCGAGGGATACCCTATCGCCATGTTTGTACACCGAGGGATAGCCTACCGCCATGTTTGTACACCGAGGGATACCCTACCGCCATGTTTGTACACCGAGGGATACCCTACCGCCATGTTTGTACACCGAGGAATAGCCTACCGCCATGTTTGTACACCGAGGGATACCCTACCGCCATGTTTGTACACCGAGGGATAGCCTACCGCCATGTTTGTACACCGAGGGATACCCTACCGCCATGTTTGTACACCGAGGAATACCCTACCGCCATGTTTGTACACCGAGGGATAGCCTACCGCCATGTTTGTACACCGAGGGATACCCTACCGCCATGTTTGTACACCGAGGGATAGCCTACCGCCGTGTTTGTACACCGAGGGATAGCCTACCGCCGTGTTTGTACACCGAAGGATACCCTACCGCCATGTTTGTACACCGAGGAATACCCTACCGCCATGTTTGTACACCGAGGGATAGCCTACCGCCATGTTTGTACACCGAGGGATACCCTACCGCCATGTTTGTACACCGAGGGACACCCTACCGCCATGTTTGTACACCGAGGGATACCCTACCGCCATGTTTGTACACCGAGGGATAGCCTACCGCCATGTTTGTACACCGAGGGATGTCCACCCGCCATGTTTGTACACCGAGGGACACCCTACCGCCATGCTTGTACCACAACATCAAAAGAAATGGAGATATATGTGTAGCGGTTGTTTGTCGCCATATTGCCAGGCTAGTTCCAGACGAAGTACATCTGAGTGAGTGAGTGAGTTGGGTTTAACGCCGTTTTCAAGAAGAATTACAATAATATCACTTGCACATATAAGTACATGATATAAGCATCGATCCACTCATTTCTGATCGATGACATGCATCAACCAAGTCAGCGAGCCTGGCCACCCGATCCCGTTAGTCGCCTCTTACGACAAGCATAGTCGCCTTTTAGTGGTTTGAGGACGATATCAGACCAGACTGTCAGGAACAATCTTCGCGAGGCCTGAATCCGACCCAGAAGACCAGTTATTGTCCCTGTTTTGTAACAGATCCATCGACAGCGACGCTTGCGTTGGTACCATACTTTACAGCCTTGGAATTTGAGAAATTGGAGACGAGTGTGGTTTAGCGATGAATCACGATTTCTTCTTCACCGGTGAGATGGAAGACAGCGTGTTTATCGTCGTAGAAATGAGCGTTTCCCCCCACATTGTGTATGTGAATTCGACAAATTCAGTTGCGGTAGTGTCATGGTGTTGGGGGCCATATCCTACGCTACGAGATCTGACTTTGATGTGGTTCAGGGAGATTTGAATCGCTACATGAATTCAATTCTTCAACCTCACCTTCTTCCAATCATTGACCACCAGAGAGAGCTGTTTCAACAGTACAACGCTCCACCGCACACAGCTCGTGTCACGGTAGACTACCTTCAAAATGCCAAAATCAACGACTTGCCATGGCCGTCGAGATCTCCTGATCTCAACCCAATTGAACACCTCCGGA